TTTTTCGAAACAGGGTTTCCCTGTGCAGCTTTGCACCTTTCCTGGAACTCACTCTGTAGCCCAGGCTGGCCTTAAACTCACAGAGATCCACCTGCCTCTGCCTCCTGAGTGCTGAGATTAAATGCGTGCGCCACCACTGCCCTGCCACACTGACTTCTTTTTAAGGAACAGAACACAAGTGGTAAGATGTCCCTTCCACAGTTAGGTGTATTTAATTGCCAGGCTGTGAGCCGCCCTATGTAGACCTGTGTGGTTTAGAGAAAAAGTAGAGTTGGAAGAATGTTTGCCTAGCATGTACCAGGCTATTCATTCAACTTCAAGCACTACCAAAAAGATAAAAAGGAAGGGAAGTTGGGAATTTAGCTCACTTGTAGAACACTTGCCTAGCAAGCACAAGGCCCTAGGTTCGGCCCTTAGCTTGGAAAAAAAGACAAGAAATAAACAGACCCTGTGTGTACCTTGGCAATTTAGTTGGCTAGAAGAAACCCACCTGATAAGCAACAGACAACTAGTAAGACCCTTGGCCTACCAACAGCCTCTGGGGAGAAGATAAACGTGAATCCTCCTCAGACAAAACTCCACAGAACTGCAGGCTTGACTTAGCCCAACTGTAGCTTTGAAAGACACCCAGAATCAAAGAACCTGGCTAAGCCTCACCCAGATGCTTGGCCTGCAGAAACAGAGAAGGGACAAATGGGCTTAGGGAGGTGTCCAAAGTGGCCTGTGGCTCTCACCGGGGTGTCTGCCGGCTCCTCAGAGCTTCTTTCTTCAGGAGCTCTAGCCGCTGTGGTGAACAGAAACAGGGATAGGCAGCTCCAGATTTCAGCAATGCTTCTGTGGCCTGGGCATACAGTGCCAGCCGCTGTGACTGATTGTAGGGCCCTGCAGGACCACCCCGACGGGGACTTTCATCAGGTGGGATGCCTGAGCACAGGTGGAGAATTGTTATCACACAGTAACACCAGAAATGCACACTGCTCTTTTTGTCCCCCCTAAGTATTCATCTGGGTGCTTTTTCTTATACATTTAACTTTTTGTTTTTTCGAGACAGGGTTTCTCGGTGTGTAGCCGAGAAACTGGAACTCACTTTGTAGGCCAGGCTGGCCTCAAACTTACAGATTTCTGCCTGCCTCTGTTTTTGGAGTGCTGGGATTAAAAGCATGTGGCCCCATGCCCGGACACACATTGAATTTTTAAGCCTTATGATAATCCATGAGGGTAGTACTACCACAATTTCTGAGACTAGGGGCTAAAGTCATGTAGTCTAGTGAAGGGGGAGGCACAGGGATATGTGTGGTCTGCCTACTGTGTATCCTTTCCACTCATCTTTTCCCAGGTAAGAGATAAACCAACCGAGGCCTGCAGCCATAGACTCAAGAGGAGGTAGTAAGGCGAGGCTCCAGCTTGTCCTGGTTGGATTCCTGGCTGTTGCTACTTACTGGCCAGGACAGAGATCACAAAGGATGACAATGTGTAAATACTAGGGTGCCATTCACTCTGCAGTCTGCTTTGATGTTTGTTCTGCAACCTCTCCCAAACCTTTAAGTCTTTCTTCCAAATAAGTGTTGATACAATTACAATCTGGATGGAAAAAGCAAGGCATATGGTTACCTCCAGCTCTAAACCCAGGTTAGAAGTCCAAAGCCCACATTCCTAACTTTGTATAACTCATCCTTTCTAAGCCTTAGTGTTCTCCTGGAAAATGAAGCTAACAGTCTTTTGTGCAGAATGACTATGGGAACAAACGCATTGGTGCTTATATGCTTACAGAGTATTGAGCCTGAAGGCTTGTAGGTAAGACAGTCTGAATAAAGCTTCAGATTATACCCAAACACTTACAGGCTAGACTCCAAACCTAATATCCAGCTTCCTGACTCAGGTGGGAAAGACAAATATCAACACTTCCAGTAGAGAGCAGGGGAGATGCAAGACCTGCAGAAGGGGGCTTCTGTCCTCTAGGAGCTTCTAGTAAAGTAGGATAAGAAAGACCATAGATCACCTTGTGACCTTTAATGCTAGCACATACACTCCAGGCAGATGGAACTGGGTTCAAACCCAGTGGCCAGCTCAGAGATTTTGGGCAAATCTACTTTGAATGCTTCCAACTCTTCATTTGTAAAACAAGATGCAAATATTAATTGTCTCATAAGGGTCATAAGAGGCCAAAATAAGATTAAGAGCCAGATACCACTGGCACTTGTTAAATCCACAATACATTCTGGCTACAATTACTACTAGCATAACTTAGCCACCTCTCTCACAGCACCCTCATTTCTTCACTTGATAAAAAAAAGATAGGGTGGTAGGCATGGTTATCTCATACTGGTAATTTTCTAACTTGGGAGGCTGAAATAAGAAGACTGCCAAAGTTCAAGTCTAGCCTGTGCTATATAGCAAAATCCTGTCTCAAAACAAAAATGAAAACTACATACATATGGGGCTTGGAGAGATGGCTCAGTAGTTTTTATTTATTGCTCTTGCAGAGGACATAGGTTTGGTTGCCAGCTCCCACATGGAGGCTTACAAGTACTTGTAACTCCGGTTCCAGGGGATCTGATACCTTCTTCTGGCCTCCACAGGATCCTGCACACATGTGGTACACATAAACTGATGCAGGTAAATTCCATTAGGGATCATTTCCATATCAAAATTTATTAGCTTTTTTTAGAAAAAGATCTCCATCTTCTTCATTAATTTCATTCTCAAGGCATTTTCACACATGTATATAGTATATTTTTATTATACTTCCCTTCACTCTTATTTCCCTCCCATTCCTATTAACATCTCCTCAACATGATTAGGTTTCAAACCTGGGACAAAGGCTGAGGTGCCTACTTAACTATCAAATCAGACCTGGCAGCCTTCAGTCCTTGCCAGTTACAGGGCCCTCCTGGCTGGCATACCCACCCCCTAGCCTGAACTTCTCCAGCACAGGGGCTGGGCTGCCCTTCCCTATATAATTCAGACATTTCAGTTTCCTGGTCTTTTTGGGGCTTCCTGGCTGCTGCACCTGGTCACCCCCCCCCCCCCCCCCCGTTGTCGTCTCCCCCCATCCCCCCTGGCTCAGGGTCACATCCACTCTGGACTCTCCCAGATGTCCCTGCCTCTGACTATGTCTCCCTTTTATCTACAATAAGCTTTTTCCTCCACCATACCTTCTTCTTTCTTCTTTTTTTCATTCAATCCTTGCCAGTGCCTTTCCCAGATTTAGGACTTGGTTTATTTTGTGACCCACTTTGCTAACCAGGGTCATCTGTGTGAGCAATAGATGTTGTCTTAGTAACTGTTCTATTGCTGTGATAAGACACCATGCCGAGCGCAGCAGGCCCTGTTTACACAACAGTGTGGCAGTGATGTTCAATGAGGGCAGGAGCAGCAGCTTTGCTCAGCTCAGCATGAGCCTCACAGTACCTGGTGCAGCAAGAGCCCCATCCAGTTGAAGCTCTCACCTGGGCCCGCACTTTCCTGAGTGGATGTGCAGTCCTCCTCCTCCAGTCCCTTTGCTTTCTTGTAGTCTCAGGGCCACACCGGCCTCCTTGTCACTCCTCACCCAACACTACTTCTCCTCCACAGAACTTCTGCATCTGATTCCATCTACTCTACATAGCCAGAATTAGTCCCTTAGTTCTCTGGGCACTTGTGCACAGAGAACGACCACACCAAGAACACCCTTTCTCAGTTTTCCAATCTGTCACTCTTTCTCTGTTACTTTGCAAGTGCACATGTCCATGTAGAGGCCAAAGAGATCAATGTTGGGTGTCTTCCTCAAGGGCTTTCTACTTCATTTTGTAAGATTTTTAAATAATCTATTCCTGTGTATATGGGTGTTTTGTCTGCATGCACGTATGTGTACCATGTTCATATAGTACCCACAGAGTGTTGGAACCTAGACCAGTAAGTGCTCTTAACCACTGAGACATCTCTTCCTGCCCCTCTCACTGAACCTAGAGTTCTCCCCAGGGGATCTGATCTCAAGTCCTCACACCAGCACACAGCAAGCACTTTACCCAACGAATCATCTCTCCAGTCCTTTCTCTATAATTCCTTTTTAAAAAAAAATATTTATTTATTTATTTATTTATTTATTTATTTATTTATTTATTTATTTATTATGTATCTAGTGTTCTGCTTGCATGTATGCCTGCCAACCAGAAGAGGGCACCAGATCTCACTACAGATGGTTGCAAGCTACCTTGTGGTTGCTGGGAATTGAACTCAGGTCCTCTGGAAGAGCAGCCATTTCTCTTAACCTGAGTCATCTCTCCAGGCCCCCTCTATAATTCTTATCTCAACTTAATATCAGGTTAACGATGAATTACAGGGCCAGGACACAGTTCAGTGGTAGAGCACTTGCTTAATATGCACAGGCCCTGGGTTAGAGCCCCAAAACTGTTTTAAAAAATATTCTGGGTAAGTGTAGTACTAATATTTACAATCCTAGCATTTTCAAGGCTGAGGCAAGCAGCTGGAACAAAGTGATCATAATTACATTCCTTTATTCAATGAACCTCAACTAAATACATATATACTAAAATTTCACTAATAAAAGCTAGAAATAAATGGGTTTCTGCTACTTAGGAACTTAGAGCCTAGTGAATAATTATCCAAGGTGAGAGTATATGTCTTCAAGTAGTCTTGGTATTTTTCCTTATGGTGTTAAATTTCTCTAGTGCCTGCCTTTAGTAGGAGCCCACAGGAGTTCAGACTGATCCAGGAAACTCAAACACACTCTTTCTTTTCAACAAGCCTAATTATACTCAGAATTAAATTACACAGAAGAAGATCAACTTCTAAGACTGCATTAATTTTGTGTGGCTCACAACGATGTGGTTTAAAAATAAAATAAAATAAATTCAAGCCTAGGTTTAACAATGGGCAGTGTTCACTTAAAAAAAAAAAATCAGTCATTGAAGTGGCTCAGGGGTCAAGACTCTTGTGACAAAGCCTGATCATTGGAGTTCAAGCCCTAGAACCCACATTGTAGGAGAGAACCAACTCCTGCACATTGTCCTCTGATGGCCACACAAGGGCACACACACAAATAAATTAAAACAAAATTTAAATAAAAAAAGTTAGGGAGACACACCTAAAAAAAAAAATAAAAGGGGGAGTGCTCAGCTGGGCATGGTGGCACAAGTCAACTTTAATCCTAGCATTCAGGAGGCAGAGGCCAGCTGGTCTATATAGTGAGTTCCAGGACATCCAAGACTACACAGAGGGGCCCTCTATCAACTCATACATACATACTACAAATTTTGGCTTTCTGGTTTTTCTTGGAACTATAAAGCTGGACAATTTGAGGTCACATTCTCAGGGGAGCAGGAGCTGGCTCTCATAGACATTGCCTCCTTTGCAGGACACCCCACTTCTTCACCTTCACCACAGGCCTCGTCATTCATTTCCCATGAGCCTGTTTCCTGCCCTGGCCTCTCAGAAAATGGACTTAAGCTACTGAGATAAGAGCAGGTATTCCACAACAGTCTTAGAGCTTGGCTTCAGGAAGCCTGCCACCCCAGACTGAGCAGATTTATCTATTTCCCCAGGAATTCTTGTTCTCCACCTTGAACCCAGAGAAGATCCACAGCCGCCTTCTGTTTCCTGTTCCTCCTCAGAGACTCTTTCTTTGCCAGCCTCACCTGCCCACTCCAGCATGTCCTCAATGTTCTCTGCTGCCCTCGGTACCAGTCGGCTCTGATCAGTGTCCTCCAGCCTCAGAATGAAGCTCCCTTGGTGCTTCTTGGCAAAGATGTAGTTGTAGAGGGCTGTACGGAGGCCACCCAGGTGCAAGAAGCCTGGTAGAAGAGAACAGGTCTAACAGGACAGGGAAAAGCTGCCAGCTGAAGTGCAAAGAAGAATGTTCCAACCCAAGTTTAAGACCAAGAAATGGCGTGACTGTTCAATTTCTTTGGTGGACACCCAGACAAGACTGTCACTGAAAAGGACACAGTGGGGATGGAGAGATGGCCCAGTGGTTACAAGCACTGGATGCTCTCCCAGAGGACCCAGGTTTTTTCCCAGCATCCTCATGGTGGCTTATAACTATCTGAAACTCCCATCTCAGCAGCTCCAACACAATTTTCTGACCTCAGCAGGTACCACACATATGTGGTGCACATACACACATGCAGACAAATGACTCATAACATAACATAAAATAAATAAACCTCAAAAACAACAAAAAAAGAAAAGGTAAGGACAGGGTGGCTGACTCCATTCAGTCCTTCATCTTGGGAATGGAAGGACACCCAGGTGTCAGGTCTAGGAGCTTGTCGTCACGTAAAAATGCTCCACTCAACTTTGACATTTGTCTCAAGGCCAAGTTTCACCAGAAGGAGAAATAGCATTCATTCTCTGTTTGAAAATTTCTGTCTGAAAATTATTCATAGAGGCCAGATCATACTAGCATTTACATTACATAAATATACTGATATATTGCGGGGTGGTGGGTGGTGGTGGTGGCTAATTACATGTTAATAACACATCTAAATCCTATTAAAAATCACATTTTTCATATGTACTCTACATATGATACTTAGCCATATCATGCAATTTGGAGTTTTTCCTACTTGAGATTTTTCACCATAAGTGCTAGTTGTAAGCAATTATAATTAAAGTAACATTTGATTTCACTCTATTTCCCTTTACTGGGGTTTAAACTCCAAAACTATTACTACTGACTGAAAAACTAAAAATTTCCCAGGTCTGTCATTCCCCTTTCCTCTACTTTTTTTGGTCCAGCACAAAGCCCTGGATCTCCACAGTCAGGCCATTTACATTTATAATGACCTCATCTGTATTTCCATGTACCTAAGGCAGCATGGGACAAGAAATGTTCTTCTGGGTACTGGGCAGACCTAGCTCAACACTGATTCTATGTGAGACCTTCAGCAAATTATTTCAAAACCACAAAACAAGTAGTTCTCAGTAAAACTGAGCCTCAGGAATTTCAAGACAGAAGAGACCAGAAATTGAAAATAACACCCTTCACATCATATATAGCTGGATTCTACATCCAGGGGCTGGATAAATGGCTCAAGCCAATAAAGTACCTGCTGCACAAGCATGATAAGCAGAGTTTGGGTCCCCAGCACCCACGTAAAAGCCAAACATCCAGCTATCAAGTCCAGCGCTGGCAGAGGGCAAACAAGCAGATCCCTATAGCTCACTGGCCAGCCAGTGTAGGGGAATCAATGAGCGCCAGGTTCAGCGACTCTTTCTCATAACTACACGAAAACATACACCATACATGAAATTTAAAAAAGAATTCTCCATCCAGCATTAAGAATTTGCTAACTGTCAGGAATTCATTTAGCTTTCACAAGTTTTAATTTACTGATGTTAGTAGGCTTTAAAAAAAATCAGGCTGGATCTGGTGCCGTGAGCCTTTAATGACCACTCTGAAGGTGATTTGTGTGAGTCTGAGCTAACAGCCCGTTCTACGCAGCAAGTTCCAGGCCAGCCAGGGATACAGTAAGGTCCTCTCTCAACAAAACAAAAACACCTGGATCCTTCTTTACCGTGAGGCTGTTGTGATACCTAAATGTTGACCAAAGCAGAACTTTAAGACAGATCTTGTGACTCACGTCTGTAACTCCAGTATCTGGAAGGCAGAGACAGGAAGATTGTACAAGTTCAATGACAGTATGGTCTTTAGAGTGAGTTTCAGGCCAATCAGGGTGATACAGTAAACTGTTGCCAAATGAAAACAAACCAAAACAAAAAAAAACAAAATTTAAACCTTCAATTAATTTTAGCTATCACAGTGATCTACACTGATTGACAACTCCTTCCCATTGGGCTTTTCCTGCCGGTGAGCAAAGCAATGAAAACGTTAACTGCAGTGAAGGCTACTGCACACAGCAGATCTGGCTGAGCGGCTCAGCCTCACTGGCTCAAAACCATCAGACAGGTACTATTATTAGCCCTGCTTGACAAACAGCAAAAGTAGGACATCAACAGAGCAGATAATGTTGCCAAAATGACACATCTAGGAATGGACAAAAGCAGAAAATGCCAGGCCTTGGTGCCTTACATAAATGCTTCTTCAAACAAGGTGAGCCTCCCAGTGCATGGTCACAGCAGGTAAGCATAGAAACGGAGAGCTGAGGTTTGGAAACTTTGAGACTAACAAAAAGAAGGAAGCTTTTGTTTGGTATGTTTTCCAGATACTCATTTTTCCCCCTAGTAGTTTCATTTATATTAGTCTTGAATACAGAATCACACCTGGTAATTAGGAACCTGGGTTTCCACCACATAGAGTTTAAAAAGCTCCATGACTTCTAGTGCCTGCCCAGAAGTCACGTGTCACTCCTGTGCAGCTGGGACTCTGTCACAATCCTCTTTTTCTGCTGACCCTGGACCTGGAATGAAAGGTTGCTCAGTGTCCAGAGGGCCGAGGGTGACTTGAGCTAAAGGAAGGCTGGGAACTTGTGGTGAGGAGGGTGGGTGATGACAGCATTTCTTTCTTTTTGGTTTTCCCAGACAGTTTCTCTGTGCAGCCTTGGCTGTCCTGGAACTCTCTCTGTAGACCAACCAGGCTGGCCTGGAGATTCGCCTGTCTCTGCCTCTGTCTGTCTGTGCTGGGATTAAAGGCGTGAGCCCCGCCACGCAGCAAGATGGCAGTGTTTCTAACAGGGCATACACTGGGCCTCTTTTCCTTCGGCTTGCTAGACTTTCAGCAACAATAAACCCGGGCCATTGTGCCATTTCCTCTTAGGCGTCAAGCAGGTCTCCTTAACATTTGGTTCTCAACTCAAACGTTAACTCTTCTGCAACGCCTTCTAGGTACCCTATCCCGCTTCATTTCTAAAGTGACAAATAGAACTCTAAATTACTCTTGTGTTTGACGTGGCCACTAGAATGCCGATTTCTTCAAAGCAGGAAACCCTAACTTTTCAATGACCACTGCACTCTAGTGCATAGGACTTGACACAATTCATACGCACTACACGCAGAGTACGTGAAAGAAGAACAGAGACAATACAACAAAGAAACTTCCCAAGAACCTGATGATTCAGGTCTTAAGTCCTCCATTTCCGTCTCTGTAAAATGGGGTCGCGCCGACACCGGAAGGGGCTGTTTCTGGAACGTTCCGGGGGGCGGGGACGGGACGGAGGGATGCGGCGCGCGCGCACGCGTCACGTCCACCAGGATTACCTGTGGGGCTGGGAGCGAAGCGGACTCGCACTGTGGCCCCGGGATCTGGGCCCAGACCGGCCTCCCGCCGTCCCACTTGGTGGCCTGGGGCCACCGCGCGAGGCCCGGCCCGCAGAAGCCTCTCGAGGAGCGCCGCCATGTGAACTAGAAACACACACGTGGGCTTCTCCGCGCGTCACTTCCGCGCGGCGGGGGAGACTCATTCCGACCAATCGACTTCCGCCACCGCGAGGGCGGCCCCGCCTCTTAAAGGCGCAGGCTGCCTGTCTGTGCCGCTCACTCCCCCTCTGGACAGTGCATTGCCGCTAGGGGACAGCGTGCAGGGAGCAGGCCATTTCCCAGACCCGCCCCCCTCGGCTGCGGGAATGCTAAAGCGTGGCAGGGGCCGGCCCGGGAAGCGGAGGAGGCGGGTCTCCATAGAAACCTCCACCTGTTTCCGGCCAGGCTGTGTGAAATTAGGGGCTGTTGCGGGGGCCAATCTCAGCCAGCTCGCTTCTTCCCGGCGGCCCCTGCGGGCGCGGTGGGTGTTGTACACAATCATCATGGCGGCGGCCGGAGCCCCGGATGGTGAGTGCGGAGGGGAAGGCGGTCGGTAGGTGGCTGAAGAGCTGCGGGCGCCGCGGGGGTCGGGGGACGGGGACTGGCTCTAGAGGGAGGAGGTGGCGCAGCAGCCGCCGTGCGGTGGCGCCCGGGCCTATTCTCGTCGCAGGCCGGGCCCGCGGCGAGCGCCCACCCCCTAACCCCTTTGCAGGCATGGACACGGAGGCCGAGGCTGTGACCCCCGAGGCGCCCGCACGGCCCCTCAACTGCGTAGAGGACGAAGCAGCGGCGGGGGCGGCGGCCGAGGACTCCTGCGACGCGCGAGGCAGCCTGCCGCCGGCCCCGGCCCAGCCCCCTGGGGACCCTGTGGCTCAGGCCTCGGTCAGCAATGGCGAGGACGCGGGCGGCGGTGCGAGCAGGGAGCTGGTGGAGCTGAAGATAATTTGGAACAAGACTAAGCACGACGTGAAGGTCCCTTTGGACAGCACGGGTTCCGAGCTAAAGCAGAAGATTCACTCCATTACAGGTATTCTAGGAGCTGACAGCCAACTGCCTCCACCTCCCCACCCCCCACCTTCTAGTTGATGTTGCTTACGTCGTGCTGGAACTGCTTGTGTTTTCCTTGCATGGACTCCCCCTATCCACTGCAGTTTTCTGAAGTCAGTATTTGCATGTGCATTATTAACCTGAGAGGGAAAATTGGACTCCACCATGATGATAGAGAGCTACCGAGGGATGGAGCTGAGATGCAAGCCTGAAACTGAATTATTAGGCTCAGCCTTCTAATGTTGAACTACCAAAGCTAGTGAAAATCTCCCATGGCATTCACTACATGTACAGTTCCTGGGCATTAACTGTGGAGATTCTCTATGAGTCTAGGATGTAGCCAGGATTTATTTTTAGTAGGTAGGTAAGTTTCGTAAGGGAAGTTCATAAAACATTACTATTGACAGTCATGGTGACCCTTCACAATTACTCATAGTTGGTCTTTTTATTTATATTGGTTTGCTACTTAAAATGATTTCTTTCTTAAGCTTTTCCCATGTAGCCTGTAAGTGCCATAGAAAATAACTTATTGGCTTCTGTATCTCTGACTCTTGGGCATTCTCAGTATTTAAATGAGAACAAGGTTGAAGAACAACTTGGAAAGAATGATAGCTAAGACACATTGAACAATTCTAAATACTCTGAGTCTATTAGAAGGACCAAGTCTTACGAATCAAAGAGGTTTGATGGTCCGAATTCCCCCAAGTTCACAAAGCTGATAGCCAGTGGAGCCAGTATTCATTTCCTGTTTTGTTAGAGAAGGATGAGGGTCCATACATTTCCTGCTTGTTCCTTTCACTGCCTTCTACTTTTTGTCAAGGTCTCCCACCTGCCATGCAGAAGGTCATGTACAAGGGACTTGTTCCTGAAGATAAAACGTTGAGAGAAATAAAAGTGACCAGTGGAGCCAAGATCATGGTGGTTGGCTCTACTATAAATGATGTTTTAGCAGTAAACACCCCCAAAGATGCCGCCCAGCAGGATGCAAAGGCTGAAGAAAACAAGAAGGAGCCCCTCTGTAGGCAGAAGGTGAGTCCATCGTGTACTTGCTTGTTGGTCCTGGGAAATTGGAGGCTGGTTACATTCTCCCTAGAATAAGCTCCTTTTTGGACAGGGCCCATGATGGAAATTTATGGAGCAGTTGGGTGCAGCAGAGTGGAGTTGACAGCTACCTGAAATATGCAGCTTTGTCATCTGGCGGGTCAGTGTGCCTTAGTCTTCCTGCGTTAGGATAAGGCCTTTGTAAAGGGAGGCTTCAGCTAGTTAGCAAATGGAACCAGACATGGGTTGCTTTTATTTAGTGCCAGAGAAGATGACCAGTGTTAGAATTAAGCCCTTATTCCTTACAACTGCTCACATTTGGGGTGTGTGTGTGTCTTCTCAAGTTCAAAAAGCCCAATTCTGGATAGGTATGGAAGCCAACAGTTTTCAGAGGTTCCCCTAAAACTGACCATCTCAGGAACCCAAACCAAACTGAATAAGAAGATATTGACACTTTATTTTGTGTGTATGTGACCTTTCTCCATGATATAACGTGAGTTTTTATATTATCTCTCTTGCTCGTTTTTGTGCTTTTTGTTTTTGAGACAGGGTTTCACTCTTTAGACTGGCCTGAAGCTTGATCTGGATACTAGGCTGGCCTGGACTTTGTACAATCCTCTTGTCTCTGTCTCCCTAGTTCTGAGTTTGTGGGCATGTGCCATCATGTCTGTTTATACGTATGTGTTTGTGTGTCCATGATACAAAGGACTGAAACTAGAGTTTTATGCATGGTAGTAGGCAAGAACTCTAGACTGAGCTATCCCTCAGTCTCTTACCATGTTTTTTTAATTTAATCGGTCCTGACCAGAGTAGATTTGACTTGAACCAACATTAGATATAGGGCCAGTAGACACTAAAGGCATAGTTCCAATCATGGGAGAAAGATGGTTTTATGTTAGATATCCATAATCCATGTTTACTTCATAACCAAAAAAGTATTTTTAAAAATTTGGCAGCAAAATTGAACAGAATTGTAGGGACAATTACACTTTTTTTTAAAAAAAAGTACATATGTATGTATATGAGTACTCTGTCTGCATGTTCCTCTGCTCGCCAGAGGAGGGCATTGGATCCATTATAGATGGTTGTGAGCCACCATGTGGTTGCTGGGAATTGAACCCAGACCTCTGGAAGTACAGCCCGTGATCTTAACCACTGAGCCATCTCTCTAGCCCCTCTTAACGTTTTTTGATGGAAATACTAATGTGTTTGAAAGAAATATTGTTTGGTGACAAGTAGCTACTCCAGATACCATAGAGAATATTATGTACTCTGAGGTTCAAAACATCTTTCTCTAGGGTATTTGTTTTGTGTTGTATTTGGTGTTGGGGATTGAACCTGGGACCTTGTCAATAGATAACACATGCTCTACTGTAGAGCAGCACCTCTATAGAGTTTTAGATAAGAATTATAAAGTTGAATTATCTAAAAGTAAATATTTGTATGAGCCATTTTCATTCCTAAATATGGGGTCCTAATTTCCTGTAATCCGTTGGGGTCATTGGTATTTTCTGTCTTCCCCTGCCACATTTATGAAGGAAATGTGAGTATTTTCTCCTGTCACAGCCTTAGTGCGTAACCTGCCTTGTAAATACAGGTTTTGGGTTACTAATGATAGCTTAACATGCTTAGAACTGTTCACCACTGTGCAGGGACAATTCTCCCAAAGGTACTTATAAGGCATGACTCAAATATATTGCCACTCTTTGGTGCTTTGCTTTGGTGATGCCATTGGTTATGAGGCATAGCACGACCTAATGAGGCTCCACTCCCTCATTAGGCTTTTGATCAGTTGTGTTTCAGAATCCGAGGCTGATGTCAGCAGCAGCCCTTTGCTAGCAATCCCTACCACGGTGTTCTGCTGTGCCAGTGAAGGTTTGGGTCGGCTCATTGCCTGTTAGTGCTTGCATTTGACTTGTTTTACCCGTGGCCCATTTATTGGCCTATAGTTCCAGCTGTACCAAACAGCTACTGTACCTGTAAAGCCACAGATATAAAGGAGATGAGATGCAGGCATTTAGGGACTGTGAGCTTTGGAACTCGTGAGCCCTGAAGTAGAAGGCAGGAGGAGGGGGCTTAGAGGCTTCTTAGTGGTAAGGATGGGGGAGTCAGCATTTCTGTTTTCAAAATATGGCTCCTTGGGTATTCTTTGTGGCTGGGTTGAGGGTGGGGCAGAGGAAGACTTCTGCCATAGTCTGTCTGGCTCTCCATAATAATGGACAAATGACCCTGCTTGGCATTTATATCTATATAGGCAATTCATAGTTTCTTTGGAGTTGAAAAACACAGATGTTGCTCTCTTTTCCTGTCTGTTAACTTAATGGTTAGTTTTTTCACTGGAGAGGTGGGAGTAAAACATTTGATTTAAGAACCTTTGAACTCCTACTTAGTGTGTGGAACTTGTTTCTAATATGGTGGCTGCACATGGAGAGTTAAGCCTAAATAAAGTTGAGAAGTCACTGGCTAGCACAGGTAAAGGAACATTTCATTATCAACATAAACTCCCTTGAACACGTTTGCTCTGCAGTGTCATGGGATCTGTAGTTTGTTGATACTAAAAACTTTCAAACATTAAGACTGCTTCATCCTGTCTGTCCAAATGATAGAAACCTGGCTCAAATGTAGTAGGCTGTCTCATTTTCCTCTTTGTTCTGGCTTATATTGTAGCAACACAGGAAAGTGCTGGACAAAGGAAAACCTGAAGATGTGATGCCATCTGTTAAGGGTGCCCAGGTAAGCTGGCCTGCTTTTTGAGCCCTTAAAAGAAGCTGGTTCCAC